AAGGCTGCAGATACTCACACACGTAGCGACGCCGACTGATGGCTGAGTCGCAGCGCTGATTTGCCCTTGATTCTTGATGTCTGTAACGACTTTCTGAGCAGCAAGCACTTCTGGTACTTCTTCTGGCGCGGCAGGAGACAACAACGCAACACTCTTCTTCGGAGTCTGTGTCCTCATTCGTGTCTGTACAAGCGTCTGCTGTTTTAGGTTTGGTAAGTCCTCCTGTGTACATTTGTTCTGAGTCGTCTGAAGGATCTGTTGGAAAATAGCGCGACTCGTCTTCTGGTGTTTGTGTTTCCTGATCGCTGACGTACGTTCTTACATTATCTAGAACCATGTCATTTTCTAATGTATCGTATTGAAGACTTTTCCCCTTCGTCTCCAGGGCCTCAGGTGTTCTTGTTCCTGGGGTGTGAGCCTTGGATTTCGGGGCGGGAGTTTGAGAATTTGATTTCAAGCCGGAAGTCTGAGCGTTTGATACCGAGTCAGGACTTTGAACTCTTGATTTCGAGTAAGGAGTTTGAGCTTTAGATCTCGAGTCCGGAGTTTGAAATGTTGATTTCGTGTAAGGAGTTTGAACTTTCGATCTCGAGTCCGGAGTTTGAAATGTTGATTTAGAGTAAGGAGTTTGAACTTTCGATCTCGAGTCCGGAGTTTGAACTCTAGATATTGGATCAGGTGTTTGATTTTTCGATTTCGAGACAGTGCTTTGAAATCGTGACCTGGCGATAGGAGTTTGTGATGCCGCATCGCTTACATTGTTTGGTGGGTTCTGCATTGCCAAGCGATAGACTGGTTTTTGGTAACAGCGACAGTCTGTCAGTTGGCGTTAAGTTAAACTGGTCTCAATTCTTAGTCTTCCGATGTTTGCTGTGCCAGCTGTATGGTCATGCAGAAAGCGTGTGCTTTGCAGGGGACTGCCAAAGAGTTGCAAAACCTGGTCAGATAATACGATATGATAAAAGCGTCACTGATGTGTGAAAACAGAATGGTATGACAGGATTCTTCATTGCCCGCCCCCTCGCATTTACTCACAGACCACTGTAAATGATACGTTGCCGTGGATTTTGACAAACAAAACTCGCAATGTTTGTCTATTTATTCATTCTGTAGTTTAACAGGCTTGAAAGAAATGTTTTTGGAGAAAAAAATCAGTTTGGAGTGTTATACTTGTTATTAATACAAATCTGGCCGTTCACAGTCAGTCTTCACTTAATTTCACACCCCTGCCTGAGTAGGTAGTAATATTTATTCCGGATAATTCCCAAAGTGAAGATCAGCAATCAATCATATACAATTTATACAACAGGGCGTATTGATGTATGTTTACTCTCTAGTAGTGACGAAAATCAATAAAATCCTGTACGTTTTTTCTTTCTTCGGTATTAAAAGTGGTCTGTGTTTTGTATAAAACGTAGAATTGCAGATTCTGTTACAGGTATGCAGTCCTTATCTATTCATTGTGTCTATCGTTTCTGTTGGATATCTTTTGTGAAATCTCATGGTTCTCAAAGTGTTTACTGTCATTGCTGTTAAGGCTTGAACTGTAACTTTCCTCTGTATCAATAACATAGAACATCCCAAACGCAGGGAAATCAAAACGTACCGTGACAAGCAGCCATGCTCGGCTTCCGGTGGGCAAAGCTCTCTGCCTTTACAAACGTCTGGAGCAGCAGCCTGAATTAGACGTGTGAGTGTAATGCTTCAAGGGTCTGACCACATCACTTAACCTGTCTCTCTGAGTAGTGAATCTTGGATACCGAGTATCAGACGACATTGGTGACTGTAAATATCCACAACTGTAACGATTAAGACTCTTTCCTGAGTCGCAGGGCTGATTTCCGAAAGAATCGTGAAGTCTGTAGCGATTTTCTATACCGTCTGCAGTTCTGGTATTTCTTTCTGAAGGGTAGAAGCCACTGATTCCGTAGCTAGCCTTGCAGTCTGCGTCTTGATTCATGTCTGTAGATGCATCTGCTGTTTTAGGCTTTACGACTACTCCCATGTTCATTTTTCCAGGTTCGTCCGACGGTTCTATTGTAACATACCGCCACTCGTCTTCTGTTTGTGTATCCTTTTCAATTGGATTCGTCGTTTCATTCTTCTGATCTGTTGCAGAAAAAGAATTCATATCAGGCAAGCTGCTCGCACGTCTCTCAGGAAAGTTTGGTATCTTCGTGCCCGGAGTTTGAGATTTTGATTTCGAGTCGTGATCGGGACTTAGCGATCTTGATTTTGAAACAGGGCTTCGACTTCTCGATTTTGGGACACCACTTTGGAATCTTGACCTGATGGAAGGCCTTTTTGATTTCACGTCATCAGAATCATTCGTTTCGTTCTTCATTGGTAGCTAGGGATTAATTAGTGTGTGTTTGTGTGGCGAATTAGGTACGCTTGCCCCTTCAGAATTGTGTTCCTTGCTTCGGGCGTTGTCCGAGGTTATGATGGCTTCATGCTTGGCAGCCTTCCGGGAATGGTTGTGAGAGTTATATGGTCACCGAGCAAAAATCTGCTTGCCGTTAAGAATCAAAGGATTGCAGAATCTGGTCAGATAATATATTACGATAAAAATCATTGAAGTTTTATGAAATAATTAGGGGTAAAATAAATTCCTCTTTCCACTGCGACGCCTTTAATACATTGCCACCTTGTGTTTGCTTATTTATTTTATCGCATTATAAGGGGTTTAAAAAAAAATAGAAAGATATTATTTTTTAATCAAAAATTGTCTAGCCTTAGACAGATATGGAAATATTTATGATCGTTACTGATCTCATCTTATAGCACTCTACGAATGTCTGAGCAAGCTGACCAGCTTTGCATGGTTGCTCTTAAGTAAGGGGAAATCTCCAGCCGTATTAAAAATAGCTATTTTAAAAAAAACAAGAATAGGTGAAAGAGAAAATAGGGAGTCAAATTGTTTTCAATATAACAATATAAGAGAACCGTTTCAGCTGTCGCTACAAAATAGATTAGAGGCACTTGAAGAAGAAGAAGAAGAAGAAGAAGAAGAAGAAGAAGAAGAAGAAGAAGAAGAAGAAGAAGAAGAAGAAGAAGAAGAAGAAGAAGAAGAAGAAGAAGAAGAAGAAGAAGAAGAAGAAGAAGAAGAAGAAGAAGAAAGAAGAAGAAAAAGAAGAAGAAGAAGAAGAAGAAGAAGAAGAAAAAGATAGAAGAAGAAGAAGAAGAAGAAGAAGAAAGAAGAAGAAGAAGAAGAAGAAGAAGAAGAAGAAGAAGAAGAAGAAGAAGAAGAAGAAGAAGAAGAAGAAGAAGAAGAAGAAGAAGAAGAAGAAGAAGAAGAAGAAGAAGAAGAAGAAGAAGAAGAAGAAGAAGAAGAAGAAGAAGAAGAAGAAGAAGAAGAAGAAGAAGGAAGAAGAAGAAGAAGAAGAAGAAGAAGAAGAAGAAGAAGAAGAAGAAGAAGAAGAAGAAGAAGAAGAAGAAGAAGAAGAAGAAGAAGAAGAAGAAGAAGAAGAAGAAGAAGAAGAAGAAGAAGAAGAAGAAGAGAAAGAAGAAGAAAAAGAAGAAGAAGAAGAAGAAGAAAGAAGAAGAAGAAGAAGAAGAAGAAGAAGAAGAAGAAGAAGAAGAAGAAGAAGAAGAAGAAGAAGAAGAAGAAGAAGAAGAAGAAGAAGAAGAAGAAGAAGAAGAAGAAGAAGAAGAAGAAGAAGAAGAAGAAGAAGAAGAAGAAGAAGAAGAAGAAGAAGAAGAAGAAGAAGAAGAAGAAGAAGAAGAAGAAGAAGAAGAAGAAGAAGAAGAAGAAGAAGAAGAAGAAAGAAAGAAAGAAAAAGAAGAAAAAAAAAGAAGAAGAAGAAGAAGAAAGAAAAAGAAGAAAAAGAAGACTAGAGCATTATGGACAAAAAACTTCTGCAATGACACCACTTTTAGACGCAACGGTGATTTATGCACAACTAGATAAGCGTGACTGACAACCCTGGATAAGTGAGTTCTCCAAGACGATTAACTCAAGAAACAAAAGCATCCAAGCATGCTATATGCAATGCTAAAACATCAACATTTTATATGTATCAGTTATGTAGTTTAATCAACTTGAAATATATTTGGGCTGAAGGACAGAATGACGTGTTTTGTCTGTTAGCTATCTGTTACCAATAAAAATTATGTGTTAGACACAGTCAATATTCATGTTACAGTAGACGGCATTTTATTGTTGGCGTATCTGATAGTAGGAATTGTTCCAGGTATTTACCAAAATACGGTTTCGTTGTCAAAGCTACTGATATAAGTCCATAGCGCAATACTGCACGCTGTGAATTTCGTGTTGAATGCCGTTCGTTCGCGCTTTCGGGGCAGATAGTCTTGGGATTTTCAGAAAATGGCGGTTGATCGGTCTGCAATCAGACTGGCGATGTGCCGTTTGCAATAATTATTACTTGTGTTGTGCCAGTGCGTCGTGGCTGACTATGTCAGTTGAGATTTGTTGCAGTTCTGGTATCGAAGTGTTTGTGTTATAGCAAATACCCTGTGCATGCCTGTTTATGCTTCTGGATTTTGCCAGTTCTAATTTTTGTCCACTAGTTTTTAAATGAGGCAATGAAGGAAACTGTGTGTCCTTTTCACTGAACTAAGAACAGATCAGTTATGGGGTGACCTGTTGGCAGTGATGGGTAAGCCTTCACTTCTACTACTACTACTACTACTACTACTACTACTACTACTACTACTACTGCTACTGCTACTACTACTACTACTACTACTACTACTACTACTACTACTACTACTACTACTACTACTACTACTACTACTACTACTACTACTACTACTACTACTACCACCACAGTTATCAAAGCTAAGGTGGGCAATCGTACAATCTTCAAATATACCATATTCGCACTAAGGGCTGTAACTGGTATTACCGCTTGGTATGGTTGTTTCTTTTTCCTCTGGCATCACATGAGTCCACTTACTGGAAAATCTGTAAGCTACGAAACAAAAACTTCACAATAACACACATCAACAGAATGCTTCAGAAGCTCAACACTAAGCTTTCATAAACGCCTGGAGCAGCATTCGGAACTGGATGGGTAAGTGCTATGCCTCAATGGTCTGACCACTTCGCTGTACCTGTCTGTCTGCGTGAAGAAACCTTGATACCTGGTATCAAATGGATGCAAATACCCACAACTGTAGCTATTCAGGCAGCGATGATTTCCCCCCAGTTCACGATGTCTGTAGCGGAATTCTGTGCCACTTGCGCTTCTAGTATAGCTACTTTTTTGACTGAAGCCACCGATCCCATAGTCGTCACAACCATCCGCGTCCTCAGTCGTATCTGTGGATACATCTGTAGTTTTTGGCTTTACATTTACTCCCGTGTTCATTTTACCAGGTTCGTCTGATGGTTCTGTTGTAAAATCTAACCACTCGTCGTCTCTAGTTTGTGTATTCTTCTCATTTGGGTTCACTGTTTCTTTCTGTGTAAAAGTTTCAAGTCCTAATAATGCATCAGGCATGCTCTTTGATTTTGACTCACGAAACGATGGCGTCTTCATGCCTGGAGTTTGAGATTTTGATTTGAAACTCGGACTCTGAGATCTTGACTTCGGGTCGGGACTTTGATTTCTCGATTTTGCGGCATCGTTTTGAAATTTGGACTTTATTGACGGAGTTTGCGGCTTCGTATCACCTGTATCACTTGGCGGATTCTTCGTGGTGTAGCTACCCAGCATTTTAGAAATGGCGGAAGAAAACATACGATGACTCACTTAGAATGCAATTGTTGGAAACGAATATCTTTTGTTTTCGGGCTGTGTTTGCAGTTTGGATAGTCTTCAGAAATTTGCTGCAAATTCCGCGTGATCCCCAAGGTACTGTGAGTTTGTTATCTGATCAGATAATATAACACGAAAAAATCACCATTGGTTTATTTAATTCTTTCCTTACGAAGTAACTCACCCTGAGCTTGTCGGTCTCTTAACCTCCTCTACTGTTCTCTAATCCATGTGTCTATTTCAGTTTTTACACCAGCCCACACTGTACAGTGGCGAGGGGTGATCAGTTCGCATGTGCTAAGGGTTAGAATAAACACGATTACACTGAAGAGGGTGTCACGTGACATTTTCTTATTTTTCGATTCGCTGCTAAGAATATGCGCGTGCAGCTAGCATTACATTGCAACTGGTAGCTTTCTCACATTTGCAGTTTCTGCATGAGGGGCGTAAGCATGCAACTGGCTTTGCTTGGCAACAAGTAAACCGAGTATAACATTTGTAATAAACAGTGAAAAATAATAATAAAAATCTTAATAAAAAATTGGTCTTTTGCAACAGAAATTGTAAGCGGCAATGTCAGTGGTTGCACCAACGCCTAGCCACTGACTGTGCCCCAGCTGTGACTTTGAATACATTTATTGGAATTATTCTTTTGCGCTCCAGACCCAAAAATTTATTCTTCTTCTTCTCTTTTGTAGACTGGCTGTAAACTCCAGCGGAAATCACTGGTTGTTCGTCCACTTCTGGACATCGTTCTTGTTCTAGAACTTGAGCTAGGCATGCACATCAGTTTTACAGACCTGGCTTATTTGTAGGCATACCTTAGGTTTCTAGCCTCACAAGCAGATACGTTCCAGCATCTAAAAAAATACACTTAATTAATGGCTGGTAACGAAATACTTGTTAGTTGGCTATTAGGGGCATTGTAACTGTAGCTATCGATTTTGTTGTTGTCTGGTGTGTCTTCAAACTGTCTACTTCTTTCACTGAGTACCCGATCAATGCATGTCATCGGGCAGGATTAACACCACAAAGATGAGAATCATACGGAAACAAATCCCAAAAACTCCATTTAACCGTATGTTTCTTCTTCTTTGCTTTTTTTTTTCCTGGCATTTATCGGCTGTTAGCTCAGGCAAGTTCTGGTTGTTCGTTCACTTCTGGACTTTAGTCCTGTTCCAGAACTTAAGTTTTGCGTGCACGTCCGTGTTACAAATTCGGTATATTTGTATGCAGACTCTTGGTTTTTTGCTTCTTAGATTTCTGCATTTTAGTCTTATTCCAAAAATGTTGCTCTGTATGCACTTTCTTTTTACAAACCTAGTATATTTGTATACAGACTGTTGGTTTTGTACCTCTTAGGCAGATGAACTCCGATTTCGAAGGAAACTACTAATTAGTCCACTGGTACGACATGCTGGCTTGGGAGACAGCGGGTCTATTCTTCTTTGCACCCCCTCCCCCACCCCCACAATAGGGCGCCAGACTCCACGCGAGGAGTTCAGCAGTATAACAGACCCGGACGGTTAGTGACCAACCTGCTCTCCATACTAGCCACATTTGAAAAGAAAATATGGGCAACATCCTCCCAAAGAGGAAAACCCCATATATTTGGGGGTAAAATTTGACAGAAGTCTAACCTGGAGCTCTCACACTGAAGACACCCAAAGGAAAGCTACCCTGCTGCTCAGACTTACGAAGAAACTTACTGGAACAAGCTTGGGGTGCAGATACTAACACTGTACGACAAGTATACACAGGATACGACTGACCAAAACTGGAGTATGGCATGGGAGCTTACTCCACTACAACCAGTTTAAACCTATACAAACTGGATAAAATACAGAACACTGGTCTCAGAATCATCACTGGAGGTATGAGAAGCACACCAACCCATGAGCTGGAGGCAAGCAACTTCTGGCCAGAGCTTGAGCCAGCGAAGAGAAGAACAAGTGCTTACTTTAACAGAAAAATTTAAAGGCATGAGTAACCCCATGCACAAAATAGCAAACATCTTAACTAATAACCGACTAAAATGACAAAGCGTCCACCATCTGGTCAAAATTGAACTACGCCAAAAACAGTGACATTTTTTCTAAAGATACTTCAAAATGAGAAATGATCCAGGCATACAGCATAGACCTACAGCCTAACTATACTGTCACAACAAAAGTCCCAGGCATAGACAGAAAGGCTGAAGAATATGACCTAGTATATGTATGACCTTGAATATGTCTACAACTCTTACCCAAAACCTAAATAGACACACATTTACACCCATGGATCATTGGAGGGAGCAACAACAACAACAAAAACAACAACAACAACAACAGACGCAGGAGCTGGATCGGTCAGTCATCATGCTGCTAAATGTGACCACAGTAAAAACATCATGCGCCTCCAGCAGCAAGCAATTGTTGATGCAACCAAAATGCTTGAGGAAAGAAAACAAAAAAGAGCCAGCAAAATTATTTTCTATTGTGACTGCCTGTCAGTCCTCAAAGCAATTCAGAGGGATCCACGAGACAACATGGTGAGAGAAAAACTGGCACGCCAGCTAAACAGACTCTGAGAAAAAGAAAAAAAAAAATTCAAATCGTTCTCGATCGGATCCCTGCCCACTCCGGCATACCAGGAAATGAGTTAGCAGACCGACTTGCAAAAAATGGATGATAAATAACACACCCATTCTCTGTCATTACCAGAAATTAAAGCACCCATGATAGGAAAATGCAAGGAATTGTGGAGAGAACAAACCACAAGACCGACCAGTGGGGTTAAAAGAAAGCAACATACAACAATTTTCCGTCTACAAACAGGACACTGCAGGCTCAACTACCCCATGAATAAAATAAAGACTACAGTCCCCACATTGTGCCTGTCAAACAGGATCACAAACACATGAGCACATTCTGTAGACTTGCCTATTCTACATACAACTTCTGAAAGAAATCCGCCCTCAAGAGTAACGTGTGCAGAGAAAGCTATGGGGAATCGTGAAGGATGCGAGTTCATAGAGGCAACCCACCTGATGATCTGACCTTAGTATACAAAACAGAACGCAAAGAAGAAGTAGAAAAAAAAAAAAAAAGAAAAAGAAGAAGAAGAAGAAGAAGAAAAAAGAAGAAGAAGAAGAAGAAGAAGAAGAAGAAGAAGAAGAAGAAGAAGAAGAAGAAGAAGAAGAAGAAGAAGAAGAAGAAGAAGAAGAAGAAGAAGAAGAAGAAGAAGAAGAAGAAGAAGAAGAAGAAAAAGAAGAAGAAGAAGAAGGAGAAGGAGAAGGAGAAGGAGAAGAAGAAGAAGAAGAAGAAGAAGAAGAAGAAGAAGAAGAAGAAGAAGAAGAAGAAGAAGAAGAAGAAGAAGAAGAAGAAGAAGAAGAAGAAGAAGAAGAAGAAAAAGAAGAAGAAGAAGAAGAAGAAGAAGAAGAAGAAGAAGAAGAAGAAGAAGAGGAAGAAGAAGAAGAAGAAGAAAATCTAAAATTGTATTTAAAAATTCTCAGAATACCATAGGACAAGAAGAAATGAGGTGCTGATTTTTTAAAAGATCTGAACATCAAGGAAGATTGGCTAATAAACAGCATCTTGTCTCGAAAGCTGAAATATTTTCGTCATATTCAGCGCCACGGCGACTAGGAAAAAAATAGCCGAAGGCATGGTACCATCAGGAAGGGACAGAGGTCTACCAATACGAAAATGGGCACAGGATTTAAGTGACTCCTTGAAATGGAAGTACACGAGAGTGGAGAGCTGGCGAGAGACCGAGTTTCTTTCAGGTAGTCCGTGATGAGCAGGACGTTGTGCAAACGACTTGCTACATGGTGTTGATTCTATCTGATTGATTATATAATTATATCCGTTAATGTAAAGCAGCACTTGCACGCTGCTTAAACCAAAAATATAAAAGCTTAAAGCTATACAATCTTGATCTGGTGATCATACCACGGGCCTCAGAATGGAAAATTGCCTCATCCATAGTCTAAGTATACTAAGCCCAGGAGGTATCAATGTTCGAGATACCTTCATCTAAACAGTTTTACTATTGTTAAATCATTTTTAATTTTTGATTTAATGCTTATTTTAGTTTTTTTTTTTTTTTTTTTAGTTTTTTTTTATATTATTACTTTATTCTATCTCTTATTAGTACCTGTTATGAATTATTAGTATTTGTATTTTTACTGCTCTTTTATTCCTTCTATTATTATATATTATCACTATTACTTAAAACTATTTTTCGAGCCTTTATTTATTTATTTTTTAAAATAGTTTTTTTTCCACGTGATCCCCTGATGGGCCCTGGTGGTTAGAGTACTTACCCCTTTGTTATTGTTTATGTAGTTAGTTCATGTCGAGAAAGGCCTTGGTCAAAACGCCGACTTTTTTAGTCACAGTTTACTGGATTAATTTCTTGCCTAAAGCAAGACCCTTTTCCAATGTATCAGGCGTATTGGGTATGTAGGGCTAGACCTACATATTATACACCAGTCGGCAAGGGCAGATGTGGTCAAGACCCTTTGGGAACGAAGATTTTTTTTTGGCCTGAAGGGAATGATTCACTTGGGTATAACCAGAGGGTCTAGCCGGCTTACTACACCCAGAGAAAAGGCAATACGGGCATACAACCAGACTGTGACCGGTACCATCAGTATTGGAACTCTGAACTGGCTGCTGAAGATGAGGACGGATCATGCATGGGAATGCCCTGAGTGCTGGCATGTCAATTCGTGACTCAACACCAGTCGGAACTTGGTAGGTGAGTGGGACAGCATCACGCCGGCCGCCTTTACTTGCTACCCATTTCAGGCTATGTCGACCTGGGAGCCATGGTAGTTAAAAATATTAGTCCGACCTTGTTCAGATTTGAACCCAGGAACTTCTAATCCGCATTCGAGTGTCTAGCCGCCGCACCACTTGGGTGTTCTGTTCCTTTAATATGGACTTCTATTTTTAAGCATTTTCAACGCAGAATACTATACGCAGGTGCCTTTT